TTCTCTCGGTTTTCGTGCCAAGACCAATGAGACAGGTCAGTCCTGGAATTCGAAAAATTACTATTTCATTTACACAAAATCAGGATCTCTCGATCATGTAAAATTTATGCAAAACTAAAAACCTCTCCTCGGATTTCCTTGTAAAATCTTGCATTCCATCGTCCTCACGCATATGCTGAATTGCTCCTTTCCATTGACATCTGTTGTGCCGTCTGCGATCAAGCCCAACGAGGAGGCATGCCAACCAACTGCGTTGCTTTGGCATGCGGATGACTCGTGCAAACAACGATATTATTTCATTCTGGATATCAGAACTCATGAAATTGTCCCTAGGAGAGAGCCACTTCTCAACAGCTTTTACGTCTGTTCCCAAAAGGCGAACCAATTCCAAGAAATTGCCAGTGTTGGTCTCATGACTTCGAAAAGCTAATCCTTGGCGACCCAGAAACTTTATTGATGAGATCACCTGCAAGGGTCAAATTGAACCAAATTTCAATGTGGATTCTACATTCTCCCGAATGAAATTAATTTCAGTCTCATTATTTGCATGAAGAATTAAACAGATTCAAGACTCAACTGAAGGGCCGATCTGGCGACCAGTAGTTCTTTTCGACTTTGCTCATTGAGCTGCACGTCCACACATTGAGCGGATCGCAATTTTTACGTCGAAATTCGAAATACCGCATCCCTGTGACACTTGAAACGTTGCCTTTTTCCAGTTGGAGAATCCTGTTTCCACGAATGCTGGTTCCACATTACTTGCTTCCAGCAGCTTCATACGACGTGCCTCACAACATACGTGGCACAAAACCGCGTCTTTCACGGGCAAGTATGAAAGTCATGGCCACATTTCGAAGTACTTTGAATTGAATGCCCTGCCACCTTTTTTAGAGAAATTATATTTTTGCGGCTGAAAGGGGCCATTTTCACTAACAAGCACAGATTCCGGTGTAATCTCGTCCATAAGGACAACCGATGACACAACACCGTTGAAATGTTTAATTTCTGAGTTTTCTTCAAGTTTTGCTGTCTAATGAAATGTCGTAATGAAATCAAAAAGCGTTCCCGTTTGAGCAGCACTTCTCTTCCGTGACATGGCACTGAACCTCTGTTCACTGTCCTACCAATAAAAAGTTTCAAGCCAGACTGAAGGGGACTGACTCCAAGATCTCCCTTCTTCTCCAGGAAAGGCTTTAGAGGAGGGAGGATAAGTCTAATCGGATGGGAGATTTTGGACCTGAGACAAAAAAGAACTTTCACTGGGTACCTTTCGAGTGTGCCGTACCTCGCCAATCCCCTCAGGCATTAACCTTGCTTCAAGCTAAATTTGCTTTCCAAACGCCATTGAATGCCGCAAAGGATCTTAAGTCGCTAATTACCAGTGTACACACACACACTTCCAATAGGTTAAAAAAAAGTGGGGGGGGGGGGCAAAAGATACTCTTGACCCTGCTGGAAAAGTGAGGGGGCATTTTCCACCCCTGCCCCCCCGGTTCCGACGCCCATGTTCTCGGCCCATTTCGTTTCGCCGTTATGGTGAAAGACGATGCCCAAGTAAGTTGATGTGCGCACTTATTTAAATGACAAATCTATCTTGCTGACCCATCCAAAAAATGTCCCACCCGCCCTTCAACACGCCCTCTCGCAGTAGGAGTGGATTGAGGCCAACCATATGAAACTCAACGCAACTAAGTATCCCATGCTGGAATGTCACTTCTCTAAATCCCTTCCCGCTCAACACGATCTTCATATTGCAGGCTACAACTTGAAGAGAGAGACCAGCGTTCGCTTTCTTGGGCTTATATTTCAGGATGACCTATGGAATCTAAGCACTAATTTAATCATTTCCAAAGCCTCTCAACAAATGTACATGTTAAAGATATTTACATCTTTTGGCGCTCCTCAAAGGGACCTCTTATCTGTCTGATCTTGGGGGGGAATGGGTGGGGGAATCAGAACCCCTTCCCCGTCCCATAAAAAGAAAATAAAGAATAATAACAAAGCTGCTGCAATCGCATTCTGTACGCTTTCAAGAGTGCACTCGAGAGAGAGGGGTGTTTAGCTCCTCTCTTAATCGACCAAGGATGGAGCACCGCTCATGAGCATGCGCCAGTAATGCTGCACGTAAAGAAATGTGAGGCAGGTTGAGGAACTGAGGAAAGTGTCATCCCGGCTATTGGTCCTGACCTGGACCAGGTCAGTTCAGACTCATGCATCCTACCACGCTTATGCTTTCAACCCGCTCGCGCTTCCTTCATGGCTGTGGCGTGGATGCCTCCTCGTACCCTGGTTGCCACCAGTCCCGTATTTTACGGGGAACTCGCTTACAAAATCTACTGGGTAAAAATAAAATGTTCAACCTTACCTTGGACTCTCTTAGTTCTGTTTATTCTGTTCTCAAGGGCCGCGCCTGCATTAAGAAATAAATTCCTATGGATATTATCCATTGGATGAGCCGCGTCAACAATGGAGGAACGTAAAACCTGTCGTTGAGGTTAAGTGTGGTCCTGCTGAACCTTCCTAAAATTTAGAGGAATCATATATTGCTAAAATAAATGTCTATCTTCGCAGTAAATAGTTGAAGGTAAGAGAAAAAAAGTAGAAATGGGTCGAATTATGTATAGATGCGGCAGGTGCAGGCACTTTTCGATTCCCGCTCAATTAAGAATATTTCCTGGCTTGAAGCAGCTCGACCTGGAAGTGGAGTTGAAAATATTTGCAGATATTTTGCAAATTTGCAATTTGTTCGATGCGGCCCAATCAAAGTGGACCAAAGTATCTGTGTGGCTCACACCTCGAAAAGTTTGGTCTTACCAGGCGCGCCCAAAGTGGATGTTCTCTAAGTCACTTTATATGCTGGGTGCGGCCCGCGAGCCGCTCTTTGGGTACCCCTGGTCTATATTGAGTATGACTGGAATTTCCAGTAATATATGTAAATAATTAGGTCGCAATATTGTACTACCTGGGGTTTCTGATGAGGAAACGTGGAAGATGCCTAACCGCTTCTGCGTGTGTCACCACCGTGCAGAGGGAATGGAATAGAAATGAAATGGGAATAGAAATGAAATAACGGGAGAATCCCCGCCGAAAGGAAACTGTTGGAAGCAATCAGATAGATCCATATGATACGAAATATAGGACAACTAAGTAACGGGGCATAGCATTTTCAGGGGCAGAATACTGTGCTGCTCGTACTGTACTCGGAATTCCTGCAAGTTTGTGGAGGGATTTAATGAAAACTTAATTTTAAAAAGTGGCGCAGTGCGGAGTGGGAAGTTCCACGTGTACGAGTATGACAGAACGGTATCTCTCGCGGGAGAGCCAATGGGAAAATCGAACCACTCCCTGGGATGTGACGCAAGACAAAGATGGCGGTCTAGCATTGTTATTTCCTAGTTCGAACGGGCCTCTGTGACGGTGTTTTTGTCAGCCAGTTAGTCCTATAATACCTTTCTTTGCGTAGGCCTCACCATTGGGTGATTTAGTTGTAATTAAGTATTCATGTGTAGCTGGTCTAACTTCAGATGGTGTGAAACTTTTCATGAAAATCAGTCAACATTTGACCAACGCAAAGCCTTCCACTTTCTCCACGTCCCACACAGAAATGGGAAGCCAAATAACGCTCTTTTCAACTTTAATGCTTTTTTTTTTGCAGAGTGCTCATATGACAATGTGCCATTTAAGTCTGAATTACAAGCCTCGCTTGGGTCAGGTTAATGGCAGATGTTCGGCTGGCGTACGTCTGTTGACCTTGCATAACTTAAGAGAACGCGAGCTTTTAGAGTTGAGTGAGAAACTAGACTGCCAATGCAAATGCTGTACAACCTAATGAAAGCAAGCAAGCTAGATGCCTTTTCTTAAAGTTTTTCCTACAGAATTCTTCTCTAGCATCCTAAGCTTCCTGCGTATGGACTCTTGGCCTTTACCCATGCACTCCGGCTGTCGAGGCACGTGACCATATCCCAAAATATTGTATTTCTTGTACGCACCCATATGTACCATTGTACATATGGGTGCGTACAGTTTTATCAGGTTTCCCATGCGCCTAATCTCTATTTTGCCAGATCTATGAAGTGTGAGGGAATGAGTGAAGGAAGCATATTTCATCCCCATAAGGTTTCATTATTTTTGTACATGACTATATCCCCCTCCATACCCACCCATGCAAAGAGGGAGAGAAAAACCAGTTTGTTTCATTGCTTAGATCTTTTCAGGGGTTGTGAAGTCTCTAACTTTGCATTTCCTCATATTGCAGTGCTTTACTGAGTGCAGTCAATATTTAAAAAGCCCTTCCATGGCAGAGCAGGTCTACATTATGTTCCACTTTCCCTGACTTGCTTAGCATGCCAGTTCTCATCTATTTTGATAGGCCAGCCATTTTTTAGGTGCCAGCACTACATGTTCTTAAGTCATTTTGAGGGAGCAGAACAGAACAAGTTCTCAGAGATAAATTTGCTCTCACTACTGTTTAGGCTTTTGAAATTAAAATGTTGCTAAATCTGCAATACATTACTTATATTAAGTTGCTTCATGTATCTTGATGACATGAGTACCATTGCCTTATGACTAATACTTAACTTGAACCTCTAGTTGTCTATGATCATGTTGCTACCAGTGTGATCTGTTAAACTGTGTAGGCCAGTCCAAAGATCTAGCATTGGCTGAGGTCTAAGTCTCAACCTCAAGTGTCAGCTACTAGGCTAGAATGCATGCTCCAGTCTATAGTTTCAGTTATACATATTCTCAAGGTAGGCAAAAATTCAAATCCTTTGCATATTGGTTTTCTGGTTTACAATAATGGAGATTACTGTTGAAAGTCGAAGTAAAGGGGGGAGAGTCAATGCCTATGAATATTGTTTTTGTCTTTCACAAGTTCCACGAATGAAGACTGTATGACGATTCTAAGCTGCTCATTAATGGCAAGCCAAGTAGTGCATATTGGCACCAGAGTTTTTTTAATTGGGGGTGACATCCTATTCAATTCCGGACATTAAAATTGGTTTCTTCCTTCTATTCCTAGATGATTTGCATGCATGGCAGACCATGCTCTCAATATTTGTAAAAGCTGTGCTAGCATTTATTGTGATATGCATATGTGGTATTTCATCATGCCATGCCCAACAAAAAAATGAGAATGTACCTCATGGTGATGATCATGATGAGCTTCCGTGTTGTTCAGTTGATGTCGACAAACCTGACAGGTAACCCTTAAGATGAAATTCTTGATAAGTACTTTTAATTTGCCTATACCTAGTTGCAACCATTTGTGTTATATGGTATACTTCTGAACTTTCCAGGAAATTGATTCTTGTAAGCACTCTAAATGGGCGGTTGTCAATGCTTGATGGTGAGACTGGGAGGATTCTATGGATTCGTAGCACTGGACCAGGAAGTTTATTATCTTCTAGTATCAGTAATTATGAGGTGAGTTGCCATCAGCTTTTAAACTACTGCTTTTTGATTCCATTTACTAGCTATGAGAACTGATTATAATTAATAAACCTGTGCAGGTATGTTACTCATTTTTCCAAAGCATCCAGAAGCAGAAGCTATAAAGGAATAATGTTAAACACATAATCATTTTACACTTTCTTTTGTCAAAATTGAGGAAATAAGGGAATATGCACATTGAAGTTTACAATTGGTTTTGTGGTTTTTTGATTTTGTTACTTTCCCATATAACAAGATGTAAAAATCTGTGCCCAGGCATTCTGATGTTCCTAAGCTCCTTTAAAGTGTTCTGGAAACTCTTTATCTTAAACTCTGAACAAAATTGTGTATATGGATGCCTGAATGTAAGCTATCAAGAGTTTTTGAGTTCACGATTACTAGCTTTGATGATGACTTTGATGGACCTAATTACATTTATTACATATGCATTCTTGTGATGCCAGCAGGAGTGCATTTATTTTCAGTTATTTCTGTATTGGGACAGCTGAGGATGGATCTGTTTGACACTATTCCAGTTAATGCCTACATTGGTGTTTCTTGAGAATTTAGTTTTTTTTTTCTCTTCTACAGTTCCATAATGGTCAGTGGTATCGTATAGTTCCTTCTTTGGATGGTATGCTATTTGGGCTTACCCAGAAGTCTGTTGAGGCATTGCCATACAACGCTGAATCCCTTCTGCAGTCTTCTGTTCATTTGTCAGAGGACACAGTTATTACAGGTGAGTAGTGACAGCTGCTTGAGTTATTTTATTGCTGTGTTTCACTGTTTAGGATAGCCATGACCTGACTAAGATTTCATCTCATTAATATGATTCTATAGGAGGGAAAGAGCTGCGCACATATGCCATTGGGCGCTGGAGTGGACGGTTACACTATGTTTGTACTGTACGTGGATGTCAGCAGTTTCCTCCCAAGAATCTTTATGATGAGGAAGATCTTATCATGGTTCAGAGAGAGACACAGACCATCCGAGCAACAGAGCCCTTATCTGGTTTAGAGAGGTTAGTGAAATTTTTTTTCTNCTGTACGTGGATGTCAGCAGTTTCCTCCCAAGAATCTTTATGATGAGGAAGATCTTATCATGGTTCAGAGAGAGACACAGACCATCCGAGCAACAGAGCCCTTATCTGGTTTAGAGAGGTTAGTGAATTTTTTTTTCTGGAACTCAATGTACAGTTGACGCTCCATATAATGAACTTGAAGGGATGGCTAAAAAAATTTGTTATGAGGAAAATTCGTTTTAGAGAATTTCTCTAATTTGCCCGAAAATGGAGAAATCTGTTAAACTTAAGTCAATACCACTTCAAAATGTCACTTAGTGTTGAAAAGCAAATCGTTGTCAATTCATAAAATGAGTGCAAAGGTCAAAGTGCATGAAATATGGCAGAAATTCAGCGCTCAGGGGTTATATATGTACCTAGATGTGTACCTAAATTATGTGTAATAAAAATAAGATGAATTTATTCATCTTATTGTCTGACGAGAATACGTCGGACATAGATACTACGAACATAGGACAATTGCTGCAAAGAGGTGTAGGAGTAGGGACTTCATCTCATGTCCTCAAGGGATTAAGGAGTTAATGCAACTACAACTGGGATTGGTGCTTGAGGGAAGAACCAGAGGTAGGATAGACATGAGCACAAAGTGCACCTGTGCAAACTAGTCAGTACAGGAAGGCAGCAGAGGGACAGAATTGGGAAAAGTGAAGGAATGAATGCATATGTGAATGACACTGGCCCATTCCATTTGTACCATGCCCTTCCTAAATTTCTCACATTCCACTTTAACCATGCCCAAACTCATTGTCCATCTGTTGGAGATTAACAAGAACTATCACAGACTTAAGGAACCGTATGCCATTATGAGTGGGTTTTTTTTCTTGAGACGTTCCAAAAATGTACATGTTGCACATCAAGTATGGCATNCTGTACGTGGATGTCAGCAGTTTCCTCCCAAGAATCTTTATGATGAGGAAGATCTTATCATGGTTCAGAGAGAGACACAGACCATCCGAGCAACAGAGCCCTTATCTGGTTTAGAGAGGTTAGTGAAATTTTTTTTCTGGAACTCAATGTACAGTTGACGCTCCATATAACGAACTTGAAGGGATGGCTAAAAAAATTTGTTACGAGGAAAATTTGTTTTAGAGAATTTCTCTAATTTGCCCGAAAATGGAGAAATCTGTTAAACTTAAGTCAATATCACTTCAAAATGTCACTTAGTGTTGAAAAGCAAATCGTTGTCAATTCATAAAATGAGTGCAAAGGTCAAAGTGCATGAAATATGGCAGAAATTCAGCACTCAGGGGTTATATATGTACCTAGATGTGTACCTAAATTATGTGTAATAAAAATAAGATGAGTCAGCAATGCTCTATTCAAAGGAAAAAAAGTCCCAACTGATCATCAGCCATGCACTTTCCTGGAGGATTCTTTAAACCATGGTCTGCAGAGCATTAGACGTTTAAATGTTTCATGCTCAACATTCGGCCTGGCCAAAAAATAGCTGGAGATAGTCTTAGGCTTCAATTGCTTGACTGAGCATAAATCTAGACTAGGCCTGATCCTGAGAGATTAAGACTGATGTCATTCCCTTACCATGGCCACACCAACAAGTATGTAGGATATGCTAAATTTAGATACCAGATGAGATTTTTGAGGATTGTGCGGAAGAAAGTAGCTGTGACACGTGCAGCAGATTTTAACTTCGTAATAGGGAACAGTTTTGTTCCATCACACGAAAAATATGATTTAGTAAAACAGAACAGTTCATTATACAGAAACTTTTCAACATGCATGTGAATGGGAAAATGGCTGGGAACTGTAAAAAAATTTGTTGTAAAGAAAATGAGTTATATAGAGGTTTGTTATTTGGTGTGTAGACTATATAGCACTTTATTCTAGTTTGTCAATATAAATTATATCTTGATATGCATTTTAAAGCCATGTATGGCAATTTGTTCTATAATTTGCCTATGCTGAAGGAGACTCAAAAATTGAAACCAGTCAAAAAGGCAACAAAATTTTGATGCTGGACTACCTTGCATTCAATGCAGTGAATTTTGATGTCTTTTGTTATAATAAAAAAAAAGATGAATTAAAATTATAAAGGTTCCTGATGTTCTACCAGATTATGTTGTGTAAGTTCCTCAGAAATATATGGGACTTTAGATGAACTCACTGGTGTCCAATTGGCTTGGGATTGGGGCTTTAGGCAGGTCATGGCTTTAGTTTGATACTGTGATACCCAAACTATATTCAGGTACTTCAGGCAAATCTTGTATTACTGGAAGTATGCATAAATATTTTGACAAATGGAATTCCTCCACACTCCCTTGAACATGATGAGCTTTATTATCCCATACCTTCTAGAATTCATACACACTGTGATTTCACAAATTGGCCCCTTCAGTAGCCATGCTAAGTTCAGTCAATACCTTGACACCATTCTGCAATCCATTACCTTAGGAGCACATTGTGGATCATGTTCCTTGTGCAGTGGATGCCTTCAAATCCATAAACAGCCAATTCCTTGGAAGAGGGTGAAGTGGGTAGTAGATCTTGTCCCAAAGTATTTGAAACCTCTGCTTTATTTTCCAATGTTGTTGCTCCCAGCACTTTATCACATGATACACTGCATTTGTGGTGAGGGAGAGTTACATAGGTTTTATATACCCACCTTCCCACAGTACCAACATTTGTATGGTGCATGTTGTTACATGAGCCAGGAATATTGGCAGTAAAGGCAGAGTGAATCTCATGGAATATATTATTGCTTTCCTTCAGAAGTCATTTAGGCACATTTGTCTCAATCTGATATTACTGGTTTCCTGAACCCTGCTTTTATTAGGGATGCACCGATCCAGGTTTAGCCGATACCATTACCAATCCCACTGTCTTGGTATCGGCTGATACGATACCTATACTGATACAGACAGCTCCCAGTGGCTGTCAGAAGTGAAACCGCAATACAGAACCAGACCTTAGTAGGCCCTATGCAACCTTTGGCATGGAAGGGAATAAATAAAAAATCCTTGAACACATGCAAAATTCTCTGTAATTTATTTAGCTGTGGAGACATTTACGTTGACCAATAAGTTAACTTCTTCAGTTTAGGCCAAAACTTCCCCTGCCATTCACTGGGTCAGCCGAGAATACGTCGGACATAGATACTACGAACATAGGACAATTGCTGCAAAGAGGTGTAGGAGTAGGGACTTCATCTCATGTCCTCAAGGGATTAAGGAGTTAATGCAACTACAACTGGGATTGGTGCTTGAGGGAAGAACCAGAGGTAGGATAGACATGAGCACAAAGTGCACCTGTGCAAACTAGTCAGTACAGGAAGGCAGCAGAGGGACAGAATTGGGAAAAGTGAAGGAATGAATGCATATGTGAATGACACTGGCCCATTCCATTTGTACCATGCCCTTCCTAAATTTCTCACATTCCACTTTAACCATGCCCAAACTCATTGTCCATCTGTTGGAGATTAACAAGAACTATCACAGACTTAAGGAACCGTATGCCATTATGAGTGGGTTTTTTTTCTTGAGACGTTCCAAAAATGTACATGTTGCACATCAAGTATGGCATGCGGCAAGAGAGAATCGGATCAGATCGACCAATACCAATCTGGGCCAATCCACTGAATATCAGCCGATACCGATACTTTGGATCAGTACCGGTGCACAGCTAGTTTTTATTTGGCACTTTTCTCTTTCCTGTATATGATTACATGTGGATTTGACATTGGACTAGCAAGCAGTGTGGTAAATGCACAGTTTGACTTCCTACACAAATGGGAAGAAATTATAACTCCTGAAACTTCTTCATTTTGCATGTCTTCAGCATGTTACAGAAGCCTAGCTACTGTCATGTATTACTCAGAGAATATCTGTTTTCATGCTGCTATCATGGTGCCATCCATTGAATGTGGCTGTGGCAAACCCAATTTGTGGTGCATGTTTGAATACTTAGGCAGGCCAGAACACCACAACCAAGATGTGATTGCAATGATTAAAAAAAAAACACCCACAATGAAGCCGAAGTGAATATCTCTCTCTGTGTTTATGCTGTTCCCTGATCTCTCTGGTTTATGCTCATAAATTGTTGCATTCACTTGACAAGTTCACATGCTTGCTGTGCAATACACTAGAAAAAATTAAGTCTTCTGAAATCAAGGGTCCTGTTGTGTCTGCCACTGATGTGTTATGTGGTGTAGTGCTTGACTGAGCAAGTGAAGACTCTTACCTTTTCTAGGTGGAACTTCAGTGTGGGGTACCATATTGTGAAGGTGTTGAATCCTCTGAAGGGTGGTACAAGAGATGAAAGAAGCAACATTCGGATTGATCCAATGGATTCTCTGCTACGTTTCTCTGTTCCTGATGGAAAAGTCATGCTGCAAAAGCCAACTGGAGTCTTGTGGGAGAAGGATTTGAAATCTCCTATTACCCAAGCTTGGAAAATCAGAGGGCAAAATTTAGAACCAGTTGACCTCTTCCCTTTTCACAAGTGGATTAATGAAGGAGGTTCTCCATTATACTATCTTGGAAAGCATGACAATCAACTATACATCCAGAATGTAATGAAGGGTTTTGGTGAGGGTGCCCTTGTGCCATCATCCATTACTGCCATTCAGAAGCATGGTTTATCAATTTCTATCCCAAGCATATCATGGGAAGAGTACAACTTAGCTCTTCCTCCTCTCATCAGCAATGAAATTAAGCAAGATCCAGGTGAGGAAAGAAGTATGATAAAATGTCCACTTATTATGCTTCTAGCATATTAACTTGCTCTTTTGGTGTGGGATCTTCCAGGTACTGATAAAAGAAGTGAGACAACAGCTATTGCAGTTCTGGACAGTGAATCAAGTGATGTGGGATTTTTCATATATGCAACTCAGGTAGGAGAGTGATAATTCAGCATTCTTAGTGATTTTCTGTAGATGCAGTTTCTTATTGTTGTGTGCAATTCAATATTAAGGAACAGGAAGAGATGGAGGCACAAAGCGAGTGTACAAAAGGAAATGCTTCTTCCAATGATACCACTGTCTCTGACAGTCTTGAAGAGCCCAGTCTATGGCAGGAACCTCAGGTTGTCATCATTGGATTGTGGTTCTGGTGGTGAGTTGTCTTACTATTAACACTGCCAAAATTTTTTTCAACCCATTAAGTAGAGAGAACTTTGATACACATTGAACTGGTTTTGATGTAGGAATTCTATTTCTCTGTAACATTCAAAGAATAACATTATTTTCTTTTAAATACTTGTACTCTTTTGATATGAAAGTATGAGTTTATGCATGTTTGTTAGAGAATAAGCCAGAACTGAATGAAGCTCTTAATGGAACCAGCATGTTGATTGACTTTTAAAAATTGAAAAAATCTGCACAGTTAACTGAATCACTTAACTATGGAGGTGAGAGTGGTCTTATATAAATTGTCAGTCTGTAGGCTTGTGCAGAAAATATAACATGTTGATAGATTAATTAGAAGTTAATCAGCTTTTCCCTGATTTTTCGGTGGTGCTGCTTCTTGGATTGGACTATCCATTCTCTTGGATCTCAGTGGTGCCCTCTACATCTGATTACTAATTGTATTTTCTCTTGCTGCTTAAAAAAAATTAATCTTGAGTTCTTTATATGTTGAAATTTTGCTACCTGCAAGGCAGATCCTACTGGACATGTATGAAGTCTAGTTTATTACTTATTACTACATGAGGAAGAATGGAGTATTAGGTTGGATTTAGTATGGTATTCAGCCAAAGCCAAAATTGTTTGATATCCTGAGACCTGAGCAGGTTGTACTGTAAAGTCTTCTTTGCCTATACTTTTCTTTGTATGGTCTGAGGGAAAATGCCCATTTGTATTAGTTTCTTGTATTCTATTAGAATATGTAATGATATGTAATTGGATGTTATTTGTTTCTTTGCTTAGGAAAGAGATTATGGTGATCAGTGTGGTGACAGCACTCGCATTCCATTTTGCCATCACAAGACCTGCTTTGCATTTCATCCACACTCGTGTAGAGCAGGAGACCTGGGTCAGAGCACAGAAATATCTTAGGTTCATCCATCAACCAGTAAGTAAAAAATATTTGTCATCTT